TACATATGTATATACAGTATAATGATATGCAGTATATAAAGTATGATGACATACCATATTTATAAAAATGAACATTTCCTCATCTAACATATTTCCTTTATGTAAATATGATGTTTATAAAAGTAATTTTCATAATACACTGAAAGTAGGTCTTAATTATATGAACTAATTACATAGTAATATAACATCAAATGAAGAGCTTAAGAGAATTTGGTTTATGAGAAAAAGTTTTATTTACAAAGGATTAATGTTAATTGGGAGAGTTAATCTGAAGAGTATGAAGTGCAAAAATCTTAACCAAGGTGAGGTCTCCCCCTAGTGGAACTTGAAAATGATCTCAGATATTTTTATGACTAATAATTTAAATGTAAGGTTTTTACAATTGAAAAGACATTTCATGTTTTAACAACAGATCTACTATGGATCCTACTCTGCATTAAGTAAATTACTGTTGAATGACTGAGTTATTACTGAAAACAAATTTACTAAATTATTAAGTAAGTTAGTCAAAAAGTACTCAGTCATAAATCCTAAAAGAAGGCAGAAAGGCCTCAAAAGTAGTAGTGAAAGATAAAGGAAAAATATAGAAATTTACAAAGATATAGCAGTGTACAGAGGTGTACAGAATACTGAAACAACATGAAAGTTGCAGGAACAGGATATTTGGAGTGTCTTATAGCGTTTATATGTGAGGAAATGGGAAGATGAGAAACGAAGTTTAGAAATACAAGTCTGTGTAAAAATGAATTTGTTAATAACAAAAAGATAAGGATTTCATGCTAAAGAGTTCTGATGTGATTTTGTAGGTAATGGGAGTCAAGAGAAACTTGTTTTAGGGAGACATCTAGTAACTACAGAAGAGCTGAGGCAACAGAAAAGGAAACTGGATGGGAGGTCACTATAACAGTTCAGGTAAAGTGTAAGCCAATGAATGAAGGGAAAAGCAGGGAGAACAGAAATGCTATCAGGAAGATGAAGAAGAAGAAGGGAGGAGAGAGAGAGGAAGATGGGGAGGATAAATACTACAAAAGACTCAAAAATTATTTCTGGTACTGAACATCAAACTTAGATTGCTTTTCACTCCAGGCAGGATGGCCTCATCAAGAATAAAACAACAGGCTGAGGCAGGAGGATTGCCACAAATTCAAGGCCAGGCTGGGTTATATAGTGAACTCGAGGCCAGCCTGAACTATACAGCAAGATCCTGTCTCAAAACCCCCAAAAGCAAACAAACAAACAACAAACAACAACAACAAAAAAGCTAGCGAGAATGCAAGAGAAAAAGGAACGCCTCTATACTGCTAGATGAAATGTAGACTAGTACAGTCCTCATGGAAATCAATATGGAGGTTCCTGAAAAATTAAAAATAGAGCTACTATTTGATCCAGCTCTACCACTCTTTGGCATATACCCAAAGCAATTAAAGTAGGTACACTATAGGGATACTTGAACACCCATGTTTATTACAACACAAATCACAATAGCCAGGATATGAAGTCAAGCTAGGTGCCCATTGACAGACGAATGGATAAAGAAAATGTGATATATATGTGATAACACGCCCCCACAGTGATACCTCAGTTGTCAAACTCAATTTATTCCAAATTCATGTTTGAATATGAAAAAGTTTGAGAACTGAACATATTTTTCCCATAAGAAATAATGGAAAACCCAAATTACACTATAAATTCATTTTCCCAGGACTTGAACAAATTTTGCAATGATTTCTTTAACTCCATCGTGGTTCTCAGTTTTCCTCTAAGCTTTACTGAGGGTATCACTAACTTTCTTTGGAGCCATGTTTATGATATTTTATGCAATAAAGCACAAAAGTAAAGCACAATGATCAATGTTATAACAAGCTAACAAAAGCATTATATGCTGTCTGGGCGAGAGCTGCACTTAAGACTGAAGCATCTCCCCTTTGTGTCTGTGATGAGCTGTGAAACTGACTATATAGGTCTTTTCAAGTCAGATTTTCAGTTTGACTATCAAGTAAAGTTACAAAAACTAAGCATATCTTTCTGAAGTTTGCTGTTTGAGTAGTGGAAAGTTCAAGCTTTGGGCTGTTCAACAAATGAGATATATAGACACACAAATATAGTACTTTCTCCTTAATATGTATAATCTATAAAAAGATAAGAAAATAAAAAAAAGACTATTATCCTTAGACAAGAGGAAGGGAATAGGGGGAAGAATGTGTCAATAATGTGGGTACAGATATGATAAAAATATGTACATATAACCCCCTGTGGGAAAGAAAGTAGAGGGCACAGCATTAGAGATAATGGCAGAGGGTGAGAATGATCAAAGTATGCTATGTGTATGTTCAAATCTGCCAAAATAAAACCCATTAATCTATATAACCAATAAACAGTGAAAAGAATAAAAATAAACTATGTATCAAAAAGGAAAAGAAGAAAAAAAGAAGGCCAACCTCTCCTTCTAACCCCACTCCAACCCCCGTACTGTGGACTGAACCCAGGGCCTCACCAAAGGCAGGCAAGCACGGTACCACTGAGCTAGAGCTTTTTATTTTGAGTCAGGGTCTCACTGTCTCACTCAATTGCTAAGACTAGCATTGAACTCATGATCCTCTTACTAAGCCTCCCAAGTAGTTGGAATTCCAGATGTGTACCATCACACTGGCCAGTCAACATCTTCAGTCATGAATCAAAGGTATTTAAAATGATAAATATATCCACTATATATCCACCAGATTGGCAAAAATTAAGACATAAAATACCATTAAGTGTTGAAGAAGAGGTGAAACAACAAAATCTTTCTTATGCTACTGTGGCAAGTTGAAACTATTATAAGAACTCAGAAATATAGAGATAAAAATAGTGTCTAAGGGGCTGGGGACTTGGCTCAGTGGTTCTGCCACTTGTCTTTCAAGTGCAAGGGCCCGAGTTCGATTCCTGACACCAAAAAAAAAAAAAAAA